CGAACATCCAGACGAACAATTTGTGTCCAAACGAAATCGTTTGAATTCGGAAGTCTCTACCTCGATTGATAATTTTCGTCCGACTCGCCCGACGTTATTCGCCCGAAAAGATCTGTCAAAATTGTTTTGTTTACTCTAGCTCTGATCCAATACTTTTCGTGAAAAATCCTGTAAAANCAGCCTGATTCTCTATCTCGAACGAACACCCAGACGAACAATTTGTGTCCAAACGAAATCGTCTGAATTCGGAAGTCTCTACCTCGATTGATAATTTTCGTCCGACTCGCCCGACGTTATTCGCCCGAAAAGATCTGTCAAAATTGTTTTGTTTACTCTAGCTCTGATCCAATACTTTTCGTGAAAAATCCTGTAAAACTGTCAAACAGAAAAATTACTCTCTGAAATGAGAGTAAAAATTGAGTAACAACAAAAAGTACGAGACTCCGACACAGCCTGCAGGTCAAGATGAAGGCGTTGGACTGATCATTTTTAAAAATATTTATTTGACTAGGTAATCGTTTCAAAGGTTCTTCGATTTGGGTGATTAAAACTTGTTGACAGTCTTTTAATACGCTTGTTAAGTCAAGTTTATCACGCAGTTCATTAGCCTCTTCTGTAAAATGATCGTGGAAAATTTTTATAGTTGGAAACAATGTATTTGAAGGGAAAAAAGTCTCCAATAGCGATTTCCTAAATTTTTACGCGCAAATATCCCAAAAAAAATCGCCAAATTGGCGCTAAATCGCCGAATCTGGAGGACACTCTATATACATACTTGCTCGGGTGTTACGACAATATGCGTTTAACGACAAGTGACATGGCAAACCATAAAAAGGTTAATAAGGCCCTGTCCTCACAGGAAAACACTGATGTCGTGATAACCATTTCACAAAATATACTTCCAATGGAGACCGCTTATTTTTCATGGGCTGCAATATGTCAGCGCTTATTGCTTAACATCTATTGCAGGCAATTTGATAGTTTGACAGCCATATTTTCATTTGAAAGAAAGTGTGTTAGTGGTAGCATCGATGAAATTTTGATATTAAATCAAAATAAGAATCTGTTGTCTATTGGATTCAGCAAGTTTTTTTTAAGATTTAAATGTTTTTAGACACCGAAATTAAGAGAATGTTGTCTGGTGGTATCATGCGGCAAATGCTAATTTCAAGACATCAAAGGGCCCTCTCACAAAAACTTGCAATCATATTGCTCAACAAAATGATAGTTGGTAGGCCATCGGTGTTTGCCTGTGGAGTTCTGCGGTAATTCTTCAAGGATAACATTTTATCCACACTGAACTTAACTCAAACTTCAGCACACACTTGTGCATACATACATACATACATATATGGTACATATATGAACGTATATACTCCAATTAGTTCATGTATTTTAGGCATAATCACTTTCCCACTTACAGATTTTTATTTACTCACATACATACATGATATTACAAAACTTTGGTTAGGCATGTATGTACTTATATAGGCGTATGTNGTCACAAAATATACTTCCAATGGAGACCGCTTATTTTTCATGGGCTGCAATATATGTCAGCGCTTATTGCTTAACATCTATTGCAGGCAATTTGATAGTTTGACAGCCATATTTTCATTTGAAAGAAAGTGTGTTAGTGGTAGCATCGATGAAATTTTGATATTAAATCAAAATAAGAATCTGTTGTCTATTGGATTCAGCAAGTTTTTTTTTAGATTTAAATGTTTTTAGACACCGAAATTAAGAGAATGTTGTCTGGTGGTATCATGCGGCAAATGCTAATTTCAAGACATCAAAGGGCCCTCTCACAAAAACTTGCAATCATATTGCTCAACAAAATGATAGTTGGTAGGCCATCGGTGTTTGCCTGTGGAGTTCTGCGGTAATTCTTCAAGGATAACATTTTATCCACACTGAACTTAACTCAAACTTCAGCACACACTTGTGCATACATACATACATACATATATGGTACATATATGAACGTATATACTCCAATTAGTTCATGTATTTATGGCATAATCACTTTCCCACTTACAGATTTTTATTTACTCACATACATAGATGATATTACAAAACTTTGGTTAGGCATGTATGTACTTATATAGGCGTATGTATGTATCTGCAAGTATGTAGCAAACTGAAAAGGGGCTGCCTTACATACATGGGAGTCTCAAATTAGAAAACTAGTGTACTACTACAAGTGGGCTGATAATGATTGAATGGTAAACAATCTGTCATTATTGTTGTATTACGCGCAGGTCAGATACATAAAGTTTTAATATAATATATGTTACTAAGACAAAAGCAGTACAATTGAAACCAAATATAATTTAATGTGAGGTTATGTCTCGTATTATGGCATGTACGCACTTCTAAGTGTCAATACATACATGGAACATCAATATCTATTACGCTCAAGCAAATCGTTTTACAACTCATTAGGTTACTTTTCTCCATGTATGTAAATTCCATGTATGTTGTACTATAATCATGTATGTAGCCTCCCAGCATACACCATATGTGTGTACATACATATGCATAAAAATATGTATGTACATACATACATACATACGTACATATATGTATATGCCCAACCAAAGTTAGCACATCATAATTACAGGTTTTTTATTATTGCAATCTATAGTTCGTCGATTGTCCTTTACTGTTCGTCCATTTTTAACGCTTGCTCGTTAGCCCCACATTAATAATTCATTTTGAATATTTGCTTTCCCCTAAGCCTGTATCTAACCCCTCCTACAGTTCGTTGATTAAGCTGAAGCTCCATAGCAGGTTTCTCAGGCGTTGCGGCTTGAGCAGGGTTGCCAACTTGCTCAAACCGTGCCATTTTTGGCCCTATTTTACATCAAATGGCACTTAATTTTTCAATTTGGCAAAAATAGTAATATTTCAACACATTTTTGTGAAATACTTTGCGTGTACTTCTTTTTTCAACTAAGATTTTCTAGTTTCTAAAGACATAAACAAATAAATATTTTTAATATTTTTATTGAGCTTTGTACCACGACTGTTTATTAGGAAAAATTGGAAAAGCAACAAAGTCTAAGCGGTAGAAGTTATAGCAGCTATTTCGGAGATCACCACATCTCCTCATCAGACTTCTTTTTTCTAGACTTCAGCAGGGATCGAACCTGCGTAATCGATGTTCAAAGTCAGAAGCGTTAACCACTGAGCTATGTACATCCCGTAAACTCTTGTTGCTAATTCATTTTCCTTATTCAACCGACTACTATCAAGTGCAGCTGATTTTCCGCTATTTAAACTCGACAGCGTGGTTATTGTTGTCAATTCTATACATCCATTTGCTCATTTGCTTTTTTGTATAGTTTCAGGCAGTCTCTTCCTAAACTATGTATTTGTCAATGTTATTTTGGCTTATTAAATAAAATATTGCCATGTGGGTGTCAAACTAATGTCTTTTAAGAAGGCTCACGGCCGAAAATATATCTGGGGAGGGTTGCCACCTTTTTGAAATTTTAACTAAATTAAGTTAATAAAATAAACGAAATATTACAATATTGGTATCAAATTAAAGAGGCTTAAGAAAGATAAATGATGGAAATATTTCGAGGAGGTTTGCCACCTATTTTAAAATTTTAACTGGTTGATAAAGTAAATGTAATATTGCAATGTGAAAATTTTAACTCAGTTAAACAGATGAAATATTACAATATGAGCATCAAACTAAAGAATTTATAAAAGACCTACAGTCGAAAATAAGTTTAAGGAGATTTGCCACGTGTTTGAAAATTTAACTAAATTAAATTGGTAAGAGAAATGAAATGTTACAATATGGGTACCAAACTAGAGGCATTTGAGAACCCTTGATTTAGAAATATTTTCAATAAGAGTAAGACCCCAAACGAAAAGTGTTAGGAAAATCTTTACTAGAGATTTTTTTTATGTTTCCACTTATCCAAAAGCCGAATAGTTTAAAAGAAGAATTAATTTACAAAATCTTATCAAACGAAGTGATCGTATTGTCAACGAAGAGTAGTAGAGAATTAGATGAGCTGCTTTAAGACGGAAATGATTAACGTCTTTTTATAATTATATGGCGAATTTTATTTTTCTCGTATCTCGTTTATTTCAAGACGACAAAGATTTACTTATTACAATGATTCACTTCACTGTACACAGTACGACAGTAATTTTGCCACTTGATTCACTTCGCGTTATATTTTCTTTCAAGATTATTTGAGGATACTTTGAAGATTATTTACTTTTTGTTGGTGATTTTCCTCTTTACATAGCTTTATGGGCTTATTCATAAAAAAAGTAGCTTTATAAAAGGTTTATAAATTGAAAAATGTATGAAAACGTCAATTTATAAAGCTCTTTAAACCGACTTTATTTTTTATGAATAAGGCCATTAGTTTTTCACTTGATAATTAAAAATTCGATTCTCTATCCCTTTTTACGTATCTGCGCGTCGGTTAGAGATGAGTTGGAGAATGATGTTGGATATTAACTTAAGAACTATGAATTTCTCCAAGGTTGGAGAAATATTTTTTTGGTGTTTATTGGGAAGGATTATTTTAGATACAATGTCAATAAAAAGTGTAGTATTTTTTTTTTATTTTTTAACGTTTCTTTTTATATAAATTTATTTAATTTATAATAAAAATATAGCTCACACTACAACACGTAGTTTCTACTTATTACAAAAACTCGAGGAATTTTCATCAAAGTGTCACTCTTTATTCATAATTTTTCCATATCACGAATGATCACATGTTATTTCATATAAACGAGAGTGCGCAACATCAAAAAAAATAATAATATATGTAGTAAAAAAAAATATTTTTAAAACAAGCTTTCTTAATACGAACGAAATCGGACTATAAATACTGGTTTACCAAATAACTCGACTCCTGCGCCACCTATCGGCAAATTTTTTATGGTGTTTTTCCTTTTCATCTAATTAATATACGTTCTAAATATGAACTAAGTCCAAAAATTAAATTTTTGGAAAGCCAAGTTTGAAAGTTTTTTTTTAATGAGACAACTCCATGATTCAATAATAAAATGTTTGCACAGAATCACGACTTAACTCTGCAAATGAAATTGCAAAAAATTTGGTTTCCATATACATATGTTATTCTGGGTTTTGGTATAACATAGAACATCTAAAGGTTAATCAAGTCAACCGAATAACTCAAAACTGATAAATTTGCACTTTCATACGTCTGGCAATAGGGTGACGATATATCTGGGTCGTTTCGCTTACGTAGACGCGACTGTCGTGGGAACGGTTTTAAAGTCGTAAAATGTTCCAATGTAAAATAACGGGTAAACGTTTTTAAGGGGACTTGTGACTTGCACTACCGTCTTTTAATAGAGGATTTATAATTAGCTCTGTTATGCCCTGTGAAATACCTAAAACCATTTAACAGTTAATTTACATTGAATAATTTTATGATTTTCAGACATTACGACGATTAAGACCTGTGAATCGCCTAAACTGTAACATAATAACAATCACCGACTTACAATAAGCAAGAAGCACTTGTAGTAAAAACCTTCGGCTCTCTAAAAACGAATTAATAATTTTTACTTAAATTAGTAATCAGTAATAAGTAACAGCAATAAGTTTCAAATGAAGTTCTTTCGATTTTTAGTTAATTTAAATTTGCGACTGTTTAAATATTTCTTGTCTCAACCTGTTTTAGTAGCTGACTAGAAGATGATTGTGTGACCGATTCGCAGCCGAATGAAGACTTTCAAATCGTTACAGGACAAGGACGAAAATATTTTTTCTGCTTTCCAAACGCCAGCTTGTCTCTCTTTTTTTGGTAGTTCAAAAAGGTCGGAAATAATAAGTTTTTAATTTTTCTTTCAAATGAAATTCTTTTGATTTAGCATATGCTGTCACGACATCTTACACCTTCACAACAGTAGCTCATAGTAAGTATGTAGTCTCTGTGACTGCCTATGTAGGTCTCCATTTGTTGATGAAGGAATTTATAATTGGAGCCACTTTTTCGGGTTCATTTAAATGAACATGATGAGTTCCAGTAACCTCGTGGTACTCAAAAGCAGGGTTTTTCTGCATGATATCCAAGGTCTCATCAAAATACTTTCGAGGCTCGTAATACGTAGAATTTAACGCTTTGATGAACAGGTAAGGAGAGGTTATTCTCCGGGCCATATCTATAGGTACATCATTACTAAAACCATAGAAAAACGCCTTTTTCAATCGATTATCTCTTGAAAAGTAATACTTTTTTGGCTCATGCTCAGAAGGTTGCACTCCGCGATTCAATAAATATTTGCACTTTTCCCTACACACAGATTTGTTTGTGCCATGGTGTAAACGGTGCACCAATTCATGCCACTTATAACAAGGCGGATACGAATCGCTTGCGCGGTTTTCGAAAACCATTAAATCTTGCAAGTTTTTTTTGTACGCATCCACAATTTGGGCACCGCTTTGCGTTATTGTTTTAAGATTATCCAAACCAACCATGATGTCAATTTTTTCCGGAAACAATGCGCTAAAAACGAATCCATTTATCGAACTCATAGAATGGCATATCATGGATATTTTTTCCCATCCATAAAAATTCATAACTCGCAACAGTAAGGTTACGTAATCAATAGAGTGGTAAGACATGCCGAAAGGAAGCCATGAAGAACGACCATGGCCGGGTAAATCCAAACACAGAAAACCAATATGCTGAGGTAACAGCGGCGCTAATGTATCGAAAGTACCCGCATTATCCAGCCAACCGTGTAAACCAATTATTGGCCGAACATTTGTAGGTCCATACCATTTTCCAGAAAGATGACCCCACGGTACTGGAATTGCAATTTCTTCAAACTTTAATAATATCAAAGTATAATTCTAAATCGCTTTGCCGATAACTACTTACATGCCTTGGGGGATTTCTCTCTTTTAAAGTGGAGTGTGCCGATGAACTTTGCCTTTTTGCCAACAGCGCTGGTATAAAATAGGATTTACTACCAAATAGAGTACTAAACGCTTTCTTAAGCATAATCAATGTATTAACTTTATTTAACATTCTGTCCTACTTGTTTATTTACAATTTATAATTGCATATATGATNCCTCTTTTAAAGTGGAGTGTGCCGATGAACTTTGCCTTTTTGCCAACAGCGCTGGTATAAAATAGGATTTACTACCAAATAGAGTACTAAACGTACGCGCTTTCTTAAGCATAATCAATGTATTAACTTTATTTAACATTCTGTCCTACTTGTTTATTTACAATTTATAATTGCATATATGATCCCTGCGAAATCCAAATTCTCAAAGTACCATCATGGATATTATTATCGATATTATCCATACATAATAAAATAAGCTCGTTTCATGACTTGGCAGCACAGAAAGATCAGCGAGGAACAGTTGCGACCAGCAGTGCGATTCTTATTAGAACTGGGAAAAACACCGTGGCACTATCGATGCATCGATGTTTTTGCATTTTTTCTAAACATCGATGGTTCTGTTCTTCAGGTATACGAGGACTTATAGTTTGTGGCTCAAGAATTCTACCAGAAGGTGACATATATGCGTTCATGGTTACTATGCCCAACAGCTGAACGTTTGGAATAAACTTTTTTATTTACTTAGGCTATCTGCACACTTTTCGTCAAATCATAGTTGCGTTATCGTCTCGCCTTGAAATTTTGAGCATAGCACATGCATTTCAAAGGACATCTGCATGAACCAAAAAGACACGATCACGACAGCAGAAGAGTGGCCCGTTATAATCGCTCTTATGAAAAAAGTAGGGCGATTTTGACATAAGCCGTTTGTTTACATTTGTTCGTTGTTTACAATTTAATGGTGGCTTTTTACTGCAATTTTCTTAATTTTCGCTTGTGACAACGTGTGCACACATAAGGTAAAGAATAATTTAACACAACGACATGATTTATAGAAGAATTTGCATAATAAAAATGATTATTCATGGGTTCAACAATTACGCGGTTTTTTTTTGTTCTCTTCGTTGTTTACTTCCTCCAACAAAGATGGCGTCGAGATTTCAACAGCTAGAAAATAACTTTTTTCTTTCTTTCGGGAAGGCGTGATCTTGTGTCTTTCGTTCATGGGACATCTGTATACTTGTAGTTATCGGCTAGTTTTCGGCAAATCGTAGAAGATGCTGGAGGGATAAGTACGACACTGTCGTTTGCTAATCGTTGCACGCATTGGTTGTTTACATTTTATGGGAAAAAATAAATGAAAAAGTTTATATTTGCGTTAAAAAGTTGATTATTGCAATTCAACAAATGTGCGAGTTTCAACTATAAAATATGACGATATTTTAGAACGTCTCTGCGTGCGTGCATAAAACACATTTCAGGAAAAGAAAAGAGATGTTACTAAAAAATTATGTCTAGAATTATTGCAGCACAGCCTATATTTTGAAATTGCAGANTTGCATAAAAATTAGTATTTTTTTCATAAAATTTGTGGAAATTTTTAAAAAGTTGATTATTGCAATTCAACAAATGTGCGAGTTTCAACTATAAAATATGACGATATTTTAGAACGTCTCTGCGTGCGTGCATAAAACACATTTCAGGAAAAGAAAAGAGATGTTACTAAAAAATTATGTCTAGAATTATTGCAGCACAGCCTATATTTTGAAATTGCAGATATTATTATTATTAAATATTTCGGGAAAATATCAACCAGAAAAACAAAAAATATGTGCTCCAAGTGAATTTTAAACGCCAAATGAATTGGAATATCACGACCGAGTGTGTGAAAGTGTAGTCGTCATGTAGTCGTTGCATCATGACGATGATGCAACTATGATTGGACGACCAATGAGCTGAAACTCTTATTCTTTAGAACGTTCCTGATGATATGTTAACGTTTATTTCAAACGCATTCTGTTTATTCATATGTTAGTGTTTGGCCGAGCTTGTCCTCCGATTTGTGGCGTGCGCCTTGATGTTGTCACACAAAAGTGATGTTGTCACACACAAGGGAGGGACCTACAGATTTGCACCGACTCCGAACGGCGATTGTATTTTTATGAGAAGCTGTTTTTCATGGCAGAAATGCACTCGGAGGTTTGCCTTTGCCTGCCGAGGGAAGACCGCTGTTAAGGAAACGCGGGGTAATATTTGACGTTTTCTCAATTCCTCTCGTTTTTAGTCTCGTTCTCGGATTGACTCGGGGGTTTTACCCGACCAAAGGCTGATGTTTCGGTGATCGAACCCGGTTTAGTACGGCGAAATCCCTCAAAAGTTGTACGTCCATAGAGCTACATCTGCTTTGCATACTTCTGCTCACGGCTAACATCGTGTCAAAAACTGGGCCAGAAATCTACACCTGCTGCGTGTGCCAGAGACAACAACACCATAAATTCACCTCCGTCAGGTGCAACGCCTGTAATGGGCGGAGTCACCTTCGAGTTTTGTCAGGCCATACGTCTCACAGGCCGTGGACCACCTCATACGTGGCCCCTTGCTGCTCAAACTACTAAACACAAACACAACCACATCACAACACAATACAACAGACAACACCATAGACACAACAGGCTACACCAAATATACAACCGCACCACTTCCCACACCCCGCCGCCAACAACTCCTGGTTCCCCCGACAATCTGCTCGGTGTCAGTCCAGGATATTCCGTAACGTGACATCAGTCAAGTGCAACACTTACCTTGCTGGTGTCACTTTAGAGCATGTTCAAGACTGCGCGCAACGCGAGATTCAACGGGGGACTACGAGGGTCCGTGTTGTGCTGCTCGGTCGCAAGTGCCAACTGCGACGTCGCCCACCACCACCACAGGGGTTGCAGAAGCAAGCACATAAAGTGGCAGGCGGGCAACATACTTCACCGACACCCAACATTCCTATAAGTCTCCCTAGGCACACGAAGATTTTAAAATTTAACTGTAACGAACTTCAGAGCAACATCGAGGAGTCTTCATGAGTCGGCATAGAATATTACTGGCTGCGGTCCAAGAGACAAATTGAATGGTAATTCAACACTGTTGAATTGCGCCGGATACAACGTGCACCGTCGAGATCGCGAGCGAGATGATGGTGGTGGCCTAGCGCTCATCACCCACCACACCGTGCAGTATCGTCTTATCGAAGCAGACATCGACCGCAGGGATACCATCCTAGAATGTGAGGGTATTGCTATCCGGTCAG